GAGCCAGCAAAGAATATCCCCCTTTTCGATAAGAAGTTCCTCCTCCTCTTCTCGCTCTACAATCATATCTATATATGCATGTCTGTTTATATACATAGAATATTCTAGATTAGTAGTCAATAACAATATTAGTGTGTGCTTTTTAAATAGTAATATCGATTTGTAAAGTAAGATCACAACATGGAATCAACACAGTTCAATAAAGATGCCTAAATAATAATAACAATAATGATTAAGATTAAGTAGCAAATAGAATATCTACTAAAATTAGGAAAATTCTACAAAAATTCAGGATCGATCATTCAAACCTAGATGGCCAGTGGAGTAAGGATAATGTCTGAACCAACCAACTTCTTTTGGATGCACAAATTAGACTTGTTAATAGGGATCCCAACGACCAGCGAGCCAGCCTCACCAATATTTACTAGTCGAACTGTTACGGGGAAATTGAGATTTGTTGGTTGATAAGTGGTAAATGATCGTGAAAGCCGCCTGGTTAACATCAATCAGTCTTGTGTTGTGTATCCACAAGATGAGTGAGATAGAACAGCGGTGTGAATAGATTTTGTTTGTCCCTTACTTAACCAACCAACCACTGTGAAGGGTGGGTGATGTTGGGAAATTTGACGAGAAACACGCCGAATTGTACGTCGTATGCAAGTCACTGGCTCACTCCACAGCAGGAGCAGTTCAATTGGTAGATACACACACATGGAAGAGGCGAAATTAGGCAGTTTGTCTTTTACTCCCTAAGGAACGTAAAAGAGGGTTGGGTGGTTTTGAAGGCACAGCGTAATTCGGCAGCAGCAGGGAATGCTCTTTTTACCGCCTCATTTCTAAGGCGCTGTGTTAGTATCTCACTGATGCTTTCCAGAAGGAACTGCATGTGCAAGAATAACGCCTTCCTTTTTCGGAAGTGTTGGTACTTTGGGCTCTTTTGATTTTAGATTCATATTCTTATCAATGAACTTTCCTGCATAACCATTTTCACTCAGCAACCAACCGTTTAGTATTAATAACTTCCTCATCAAGACATTCATCCTAGTAGATTGCTCTTGCTCTGTGGTGAACCAAGCACTTTATCAGATTGCGTTTGTATTTCAAAGGCACGAAGCTGAGAAAATGAGTATACTGACAGTCACTTGATGTAGGTTTTCTAAATACACTTCCTCTTCTTATTGCGCCATCCTCTATTCTGGTCATAAGGACGTCTACAAATGGAATACTGGAGTCATTTTCTTTGTCGATGGTAAAATTTATTTGAGGATGAACCTCGGTAAAGTTATTCAGGATTTTCTTGCTTCCTTCTTATTTTTCATAATCAAAAATGTATCATCCATGTACCGACAATAGAATTCGAGTTCATTATTAACATCCTTCCAAGGCCCATTATTTTCTAGTTTCGCAAGGAAAATGTCGGCTAGAATGATGGTCCTAGTGGTGATCCCATTGTCACACTGTCAATCTGTCTATATAGTTCCTTATTAAATGAAAAGCGGACATTCATTGTGCATTCATTATAAAAGATATAGGAATGCAAACATCGATGTTTCGTCTTATGAGTTCTTCGCATACAACGTCCACTGTTTCCATAAGTGGTACGTTCATTAGTGAATAAGGAAGATACGTCAACAAATGATATCATGAATTTATTGTCAAAACACTTAAATCTTTTATCCTTTCAACAAATCCAAAACTATCCTTTACAACACCGTGTTTCACCAACTCGGTAAGGCTGTAAGAGGCTGCAAGAGGTCGATTAACCATTTATCATAATTTAACAACTCATAAGGTAACAGACTGCATTATTTGAAGCATTTTACCAATAAAATAAAAAAATACCTTAATATCTCATTCACTATGGTGAGTTCATTTTTAACAGAACCAGTGTAGGAATCATCGGCAATACGCACCGACCACAGGCGGTTCGAACCCGGGACATTCCGGTTACAAGCAAGGCAAACTAGCTTAGTCGTATACCATTCAGCCACCACTCACTGGGACCCGATTCCTCAATGGCTAGCCAGTGCACGAATTTTAACTTCTATCAATTCGTGATGCATTTTGCGCGACTGGCACCAACTAATGTCGTTGGTGGGACATCCATCCTCACACGTGATATCTGGATGGACCACCACCTCACTGGTCACCACTTTTCACTACAACTAACTCCAAGAAACTCCATCCCGTAGCAAGTCACTAGCGCGAGCATCAGATTAATTTTTTCTATAGTTTGGTTTGTAAGGCTTATAACAGCTTGCTTTTCTTGTAACCGGAAGGTCCTGAGTTCGAACCCCGGTTCAGTGGTGGGTGTGTACTGCCGATGACTCCAAAACTAGGCTATTGAAACAGCTGGCTGTCTGGCAGTACTTCCTGTGGCTGGTTTTCAATGCTTCTTTAACTGGTTGACATCAATCCGTGATAAACTAGTAACAATAAAACTAATCCTTACAAGCCAAAATATAGAAAATGGAAATAATGCAACTCACTGATCGACAATTGCAAAAAAAATTAAGTTCATGTTAGTAATGTGTTAAACTTGGGCACTGTGATTGTGATGGTGGTAAGTAATTCAATATTAGTTTGTTTATTAGATGGATATATCACACACAGTCAGTGAAACAGTATTAGTGTTTACTGGATGACACAGTTTCGAACAAAATTTATTGCTCTTCATAATCATATCATCAATTATAATCACACGACTTCGAAACTTGAGTTTCATAGTTCTAAGATAAAGCACAAACAGCGAAGAAAATTTTCTTTTCGACGATTCATTTTCATGAGCTGTACAATCGTAATTATAATTTACAAAGAAATCTTTAGACCAATCAGATACTGGTAAATTTTGTCCTTGGAAAATTGTATTACATAATGTAAGGTGTAAGAAGGGATGGCTAATTGTAAGTTAGAAAGGAGACAGAAGTTGGCATGACGTAATAAGTGTGAGATAGTGAATAATCAATAATCTCGTGTAAAATGGACAGGAACTAGTGGAAAGGCTATAAAGTGTTTTTGTATAAGATATGTATGAAAAACAATGTTATTAATAAACAGTAATAGAGTGGTAATAAAATGTGGATGATTGGAATAATAATGACAATAGAAGTATTAGTAATAATAATAGTGAACTTACATAATAAAGGAAAGAAGCAAAATTGTGATAAGAACTTTACTCTGGCCATGGTAGGGCAAGAGAATGTATGTATCGCTTTTGTATGCAGAGGTCCGGTTTCAGATCTTGAATAGCTAATGCTTCAGCTATGTACAGATGGCGAATCCGGAATGTCTGAAGAAGACATTTCCAACAGCCACTCTACGTATCACATTCTCCTGCAGACAGTTAATCCAGTCTAACGCTAAGGACAAGATACCGCTTTTGGCCACCTCAGTGTGTATTTATCAATTTACTTGCTCGTGTGGAGCAAAGTATATTGGGCGTACGCAACGTCAAGTCCAAAAACGTATTCTGGAACACTGCCCGCTTGGTTGGCCAGAGGAGAAAAGAAGAATAGCAACAGCTCGATCCTCGAACACCTTGTCATCTCTGGACATCGAGCACCCCCACATGAATGCTTCACAGTGGTACACAGAGTCCCTCAATATCGCGTACAAAGGGACTTCGGATACGCCATCTGTACATAGCTGAAGCATTAGCTATTCGAGATCTGAAACCGGACCTCTGCATCCAAAAGCGATACATACATTCTCTTGCCCTACCATGGCCAGAGTAAAGTTCTTATCACAATTTTGCTTCTTTCCTTTATTATGTAAGTTCACTATTATTATTACTAATACTTCTATTGTCATTATTATTCCAATCATCCACATTTTATTACCACTCTATTACTGTTTATTAATAACATTGTTTTTCATACATATCTTATACAAAAACACTTTATAGCCTTTCCACTAGTTCCTGTCCATTTTACACGAGATTATTGATTATTCACTATCTCACACTTATTACGTCATGCCAACTTCTGTCTCCTTTCTAACTTACAATTAGCCATCCCTTCTTACACCTTACATTATGTAATACAATTTTCCAAGGACAAAATTTACCAGTATCTGATTGGTCTAAAGATTTCTTTGTAAATTATAATTACGATTGTACAGCTCATGAAAATGAATCGTCGAAAAGAAAATTTTCTTCGCTGTTTGTGCCTTTTCGTATGACTCAATATGGGAATATTTCGTTCATTTCATAGTTTTCTTTGTCTTCTCATATTTGTGGTCGTAGGCGTGGTAGTAAATTTCGCAGATATCTGGGAAAGAATTCTTAACAAAGTAGGAATAAAAGTGGCATTCAAACCCACAAACTCAATTAGAAACAAGCTTTGTCAGTTAAAGGATCAATCCTGTGGAGCCTTCAAAACAAAACAATTTAGTTTATCTAATACCCTGCTGCTGCAATGATTGTCAGGTCAAATACATAGGTCAAAGTAGTAGAACAGGGTCAGTGAGTCAGACTAGCCGAGCATAAAAACCTAGCAGCAAAATCTAGATTAGTTGACCCGAATAAGATAAGAAATCTAGAGAATAGTTCAGCTATAGCACTCACTACATGCAATTACACACAAAGCCATACAATAGGCTGGATGGGATAGGATGACAGTTTTAAAATCTAATGTCACAGCAGGGTGGAGGGAGGGAGAGATTGATAACAACGGAAGCTTTGTTTATCGAATCAACTGAGAGTGAATACGTGTAATAGGAATGATTCAACACCTGTCCACACAGATATCTGGAAAATTCTACTACCCCAATGACGACGACAAATAGGAGAGGACAAAGAAAACTATAAAACTCAAGTTTCGAAGTCGTGTGATTATAATTGATGATGGAATGATTATGAACAGCAATAATGAATTGTGTTCGAAACTTTGTCATCCAGTAAATACTAATACTGTTTCACTGACTGTGTGATACATCTAATAAACAAACTAATATGAAGTTCATTTTATTACACTGATGACAGTGTGAAATATATTGCTCACCTGGTACCCGATGACAAATCTCCATTTTCCATTCGTTCATTCTCTTGTCCTTCATATGCATAGTCTAGTGGTTCTTCATTCGCCACACCTTCATTATCTTGTGCTTCCACTTCGTTCAGCCGAGACTGTAAAAGTTCACCAATATGCGGCGGTCTGACTGTCATGTCTTCTTCATCCGGTTTTTTCTCTTCCATTGAAGGAGTTTCTTTTCCAGGAGGAACTGTATAACAAAAAATAGAAATTCTATGCAGTGAAATTTAGTTTCATCTGTGTGCATATGCAAATGGTGTAGAGTTATAGTCTATAAGACTGGAGTGTCCTAATTACGTAAACAGTTCCACAGTACTGGATTTTTTCACTTGATACTAAGCAAGTAATTATAAAATAGAGAATTATCTGCTGTAATTGATATAAGAAGTATAAAACTTGGGCACTGTGGTGGTGGTGTTAGAGTATAACTACTCCATTATGGATAAGATTTTCTGTTTTGATAAACTGTCACTCACAGTGTGTGTAGTGTTATACAGTAAGTAATATTAACTGATGCGACCACACGCTTCGAGCACAATTCATTATTATTGCCACTCATAATCATCATATCAAGTCACTCACACAACTTTCGTCTTCCTTCATTTATATACATGAGTGGAATTGATGATTAGACATTTGAATACAAATCAGTAATATGGGATAATGTACATTCAGAAATAATAATGATAATAATATGAGTGTTATTGATCAATTACAATCAGATGGGAAATAAGACGAGTGTTTCTTCTATAGTCAAAATAAGTGAGTAACTTGTTAGAATGTTGTGATGATGTACGTGAATTGAATTGAAATAGAATACAATTTGAGATTATTTATTATCCTCCTCTGATTTGACTGACTGACTGACTGGTGGTAATAATATCTTCCATACATATTTCTGGTATTTGCATTGAGTCATTTCTGTTGCATGTGTTGTGTTGTGTGTAGACTCGATGAACCAGCCAGGATTCAGTAATCAACCTCTCTCGCTCTCCACCTACATAGATTACTTCTTAGAATCTTAACCCTCTCCCACCATGCTATTGTGTGGTTGTGTGTTAATGCATGCAGTGCAATGTAGTGGTGACCTTTTTCTAAATTACTTATCTTCTCGGGTGGGGTCAACCTTAGCTAAATTCCTATGTTCTGACAATCTGACTGTCCCCGACCTACTAGTTTGACCTTTATATGTAGTTGACCTAACTCACAGTCATTGCAGGGTATTTTGTAAATTATATTATTTTGTCTAACTGGGTCAAACTTTAGGGTACTTTAACCTACAGAGCTTGTGCTGCGTGAATGAGTTTGTAGGTTTGAATACCACCAACCTAATTCCTGCTTTTGTGTTAAGAATCTCATGTAGGGAGGGATTCAGATGTCCCATCGCTCCTTATATCGTGTAACAGTGGATTACTTTTATCTCTCTTATTTATGTTATCATTACTAGTTTCACAATAATTTTTCGATTTTCCTTCTGGCCTTTTCTGATCTTCCTAATGAATTTTATAGGATAGTTAGTTATTTCACACCAACGCCTCTTCCATCTGTTTTATTTCATGTTATCAGAAGAGGATTATAAATAATCTTAAAATTCTATTTCACTTCACGTACATCACAACATTCTAACAAGTTAATCACTTATTTTGACTATAAAGGAAACACTCGTCTTATTTCCCATCTGATTGTAATTGATCAATAACACTCATATTATCATTATTATTATTTCTGAATGTACATTATCCCATATTACTGATTTGTATTCAAATGTCTAATCATCAATTCCACTCATGTATATAAATGAAGGAAGACGAAAGTTGTGTGAGTGACTTGATATGATGATTATGAGTGGCAATAATAATGAATTGTGCTCGAAGCGTGTGGTCGCATCAGTTAATATTACTTACTGTATAACACTACAAAATAAAATCTTATCCATAATCGAGTATATTCAAAAACATTTTGCTAATGCAGTTATTACTACCCCAGTGTTACGGCTACATTTTTCTTACATACCACAATAATAATATCTTGACTGGACACTAGGCAGTTACTAATGTCACGCATCCAGTCCTCAATTTAATGCTGATTGAATTCTGTAAGTGAAGTTTACAATGTGGCCGCCATGCTAGATGGATGGCTGACCATCAATAAACACTCTGAATTGTCTGTCATTAAATGCTTGGAGGCGATCTCTGGCCGGGATGCCTTGGATCTAGATTTCGCGTGCCTACCGATAGTCGTCACCGCAGCGTGTCTGCAATCTTGACGGAGTTCATATCCACTCTGAGATTCGAGCGCAGATCTCACGCATTTCTGTAGTTAGTCAGAGTTGTTATCATTGAGCGATTTAAGTTAGGCTCGTGACTGACCTCCTTCTCTAACTACTTCACTACTACGTGGTGCCGCCGACAATTATACATCTCATCCAACAGTTGTACGACACTGCTGCATGCCAAGTAATCCACAACCGGAAACTTACGGAATCCTTCGTAGAAGTGAAGACGGGAGTAAGACAAGCTGGGTGGCCGCCTGCTATCGCCAATGATTTTCCTGATTGCAGTAGATTGGATAATGTGACAGACAGTGGGCCAGGCAGCGAGGAAACAGGCATAAAATGGACTCACACAAAATACCAACTTGGAGGATCTGGACTTCTCCTATGTGATGTGATATATGTCTGATTTCCTACAAACGCTGGAAGATATGCAAGTGAAAAGCAACAAGTTGGCAGAAGAAGCATCAAGGATAGGACTTCAGGTGAACATAGAGAAAACAGAGGTGATGAAGATTCTTAGACAACAACAACAACAACAGACAACAATCAGCCAGCATAAATGGGAGGAACCTGAAAGAAACAACCTCCTTCACCTACCTGGGAAGCATCGTTTCAACTACAGGCCAATGGAACTGACGAGGATATCAAAGCAGCAAGGATCTTTGGGAAAGCAAGACAAGCTTTCATTACTCTCAAGTCTGTGTGGAGGTCAACACTCAGCAGTCAGCATGAAAATGAAAATAAGATCCGGATTTTCAACTCCATTGTGTAGTCAATCAGTGCTACTCACTATACGGATCACAGAGTTGACCAGCGCGTCATGGAGAGCACCTCAAATAAACTACAGACCTTCATACACAGCCAGTTGTCTTCGCTCAATACCACTCAAGATCAGATGGGAAGAAAAGATCAGCGACAGTGAGGGATCTCTGGTAGTGAGCGAACTAACTCAGCAGCAACCAATTGTGCAACAAATAAGCAGGAAGAAATGGAGGTGGATTGGATTGTGGCCATACTCTGGGAAAACAAATCATCAAGTGAGTGACATCACTAGACAAGCCATTGCTCGAGTGGAACCCAAAAGGGAAGCGGCGAGTTGGTCGTCATTGCGAGGGTGGGTGACTTGGGAGGAGGTCATGTGAAGAGGAGGCGAAAGCATGTGGGCAGATCTGGAACCAGGTGACAACTTTGACAGAGAACCGAACTCAATGGAGACGTGTGGCTGAAGCCCTAAACAATAACAATAATGACTGTTATGGATACCTTTTACAAATATCTGAGTATTTCCAAAGCATTTGAAATAAGACTTAGGTGAATTGCAGTATAGAAAAAAGAAAAATGCATTTAGAGAAGATTGACCCCTAATTATTCTTGTGATGATTTGCTGAATCACGTATTCTTTTCTTTTAATAAAAACAAAACATTTTATGAGGGTGTTTGTTTTTTTGTTTAAACTCAAACAAGCTGAAAATTGAAAAAATAAATAAATAAAAACTATAATTAACGTTTACGCCTATCAAGATTTCAAATAACTTTCCATTAGACTTATGTACACGTCTAAGGCGTATCACTGAAACAAGCTGTAGTGATTTTTTCAGCCTTCAGTGTATCTGCCTGTCCGACTTTAGCACATTTTCTTCTTCTTTTTTTTTTATAACAAAACTTCAAACTACCTGTTTACTTATTTTTATAATTGAATTTTAGAGCAAGTAAACTGCTCTTGTGGAGCTGAGTACATCGGTGTATATAAGTCAGTGACAGAACAACTGGTCAATTCAGGACATTCAGCGCCATTCGAAAAATCCTTCAAAATAATATACAAGATTCAATCAAACCTATCAAAGGGAGTAAAATTAAGACATCTGGGCATAGTCGAGGCACTAGCTATCCAAAAGCTCAAACCCACGCTATGTATCCAAAAGAAACACGTCCAACCGTTGTCCCTGCCATGGCCATCGTAAGCAGGTAATTCTTCTAATAGTGACTATCCCATTGACTTTCTTATCCAAACTTCCTGTTTATTCATGTTATTTTTAAGTTTTTCCTAATCCCTCCACTATTTTCACTACCATATTTTCATATTCGAACTTCCAGTCTATTTTGTCATTTTGTTATTTCTACATATTCAATCCCTGATTGCATAAAGAATTATTCGTCACATTAGTTATGATCCCACTAGATTTTGTCATCCAAACATCCTGTCTATCTATTTTGTTATTTCTACATTTCTAACCCCTAATTGCACAATCAATGTCAATCTTCCCAATAATTATGATGCTACTTTGTCTGAGCTTTATCCGTCCCACCACCCTGTTTATTATGTTATTTTAATTCCTAATTGTAATTTTGTTGATTTGACCTCTAACGGGAAATTATTCTGGATCTTTCCCATCCATTTGATATAAATACACGAATGTACAGCCTGGCTGACGGTGACTTCGTCGAAAAGAAAATTTTCTTCCCTGCAATTGTCTTCTTAATTGAATTTTAGATATTTTGCCATCGATTGATTGGACCGAAGTGCTCGGTCTCTTGGGTTGATATGTCTGTTGGCTTCTTGTGCAGATGCTTCAACGACGATATCTGGGCATGTAAATACAATTTAATTGGTGGGTGATGACTAGCAGTCCATTGGGGTCCAGTCCAGGATAACGCGCATTTCACCGGTCCTATTTGGGACTGACTCGTCAGTTGCCTTGAGGATGTACCTGCATTCCGCAGTCAGTGAGTCAGTGATGATGTTCCCCGCACCGAGGCTCGAACCCAGTGCCCACAGTTTGAAACACCAGTCAAAGCATTATCCACTAGACCACTCGGGCCACGAGAGCCACTGCCTCTTGTGCAACGGGTCATATGAATAATTCAACTAAATTTTAGATTTCCCCGCCCATTGATTGATTGAACCTAAGTGCTTGGTCTCAGGTTGTCACCATACTTCAATTAAATTCTAATTAAATGCCCAGAAATCCTCGTCAAAGCATCTGTACAAGAAGCCAACAAACATATCAACCTGAGAGACCGAGCACTTCGGTCCAATCAGTCGATGGGCGGAGAAATCTGAAAATTCAATTAAATAATTAACATGACCCGTTGCACAAGAAGTGGGGTGGCTCTCGTGGCCCAAGTGGTCTAGTGGATAACGCTTTGGCTGCTGGTGTTTGAAACTGTGGGCATTGGGTTCGAGCCTCGGTGCGGGGAACATCATCGCTGACTCACTGACTGCGATGGAATGCAGGTACATCCTCCAGCCAACTGACGAGTCTGTCCCAAATAGGACCGGTGAAATTCGAGTTATCCTGGACTGGATTCCACTGGACTGCTAGTCACCATCCACCAATTAAATTCCACATACTGTATACTTCTTATTTCAGTCTTCGAATCACTTTACCATTATAATTTTTCACAGTGAAACCTGTCACCACAAATACTAATTTAACACCATCCCTAAGTTGTCTAAATCTGCATAAAACTAAATGGTATACTGACTCATTGGTATGGATAGTATTGATTGAATACCATTCACATCAACCAGTGTAGTGTCTGGATAGTCAAACTGAAGTCATGTAAACACCGTAGAGGAATTTCGCTCATTTTCGGGAAAAAGCTTATCACAAGGCTGAACCGATTTAATGAGATTGCATAAAAACTTCACAAGTAAAGCGAATGAAAACGAGAATTCTCAAAAATCCCACCTTTTATACATTGCATAGAGAAAACAGATGTGGTGATGAAGATTCCTGGGCAACAAAAACACCAACAGTAACAACAACAACAGACAACAATCAGACAACATAAATGGAAAGAACCTGAAAGAAACAACCTCCTTCACCTACCAACCACCTATATGGGAAGCATCGTTTCAACTACAGGCGGATGGAATTGACGAGGATATCAAAGCAGCGAGGATCGGGAAAGCAAGACAAGCTTTCATTACTCTCAAATCTGTTTGGAGGTCAACACTCAGCATTCAGCATCAAAAATAAGATCCGGATTTTCAACTCCAATGTGAAGTCAGTCAGTGCTACTTACTATTCGGATCAGAGACTTGGTCAGCAACAGGGATCTCTGGCAATGAGCGAACCAACCCAGCGCGAACCGATTGTGCAACAAATAAGCAGGAAGAAATGGAGGTGGATTGGATTGTGGCCACACTCTGAGGAAACAAACCATCAAGTGAGTGACATCACTAGACAAGCGCTTGCTCGAGTGGAACCCAACAGGGAAGTGGTGAGTTGGTTGTCAGTGACTTGGAGGAGGTGATGTGAAGAGAAGATGGAAGCATGTGGGCAGACTTGGAGCCAGGTGAAAACTTTAGCAGAGAACCGAACGCAATTAATTCAACTAATCAATGAAATGCTTTCTTGTCAATCATGCCAAAGTGTTCCAGAGAACACTAGCTCATCTTCTCACTTTTTTAGATTGAAACGTATTCATAGGTAATTTTATGCAGTTTGAGATGGCCTGTTTTTGAAAAATTGTGTTGACTGTGAAACAGGGTTTCTTAATGCAGTAATTCCCCCCCCTCCCTCATTTATCAGCACCGTAAAACACCAAATATCGGTGTAGTGATCGTTGTTTCTACCAATATGTACAAAAAAACAAAAGGCGAAATGATTTGGGAAATATAAGCGATGGGACTTTGGTAACAAGAATGCAAATGACACAAAAAAGCAACTTCTCATCTGTAATTATACACGCTTAATTGTGGTGAGAGCTGTCTGCTAGCTAGCCAAAATTGATAGACAGTATTTTACGTCAATGTTAACGTCCCAAATATTGATCATGAGAAAAGAAGAACAAACACAAAGACTGACTGACTCAACCAACAACCAATCACGGTGGACTTTGTTTGCGTAGGCGGATACAATTAGCAGATAGATAGATGATCTGACCTTCAAGAAACAGTCACAAATAGAAACAACCAATCAGAAGATTGTGTTTGTTTGCTAACAATAACCTATAATAATTTACAAGAAAATCGATAACTATCTGTTGATTTCGTAAATAAACGATCTGTTTGGCTGGCCCTTGTCTTCTGTTTTTACATAATTACTGTATAGAACACCAGTAAAGCTGGGATTTGCTTTAAAAAAAGTTTTCAGTTAGAGTACTCCTCTGGCAGTAACAACTTCGGTACAGAGATAAGCAATTATAGTATGTGCTAACGTGATAGACAGTTAAGCCAGTTGATGAAGAGTGTTTATTTCCTAACCGTCATAGTGACCTTATGAATGTCGACTGAAGATTCTCTACAAATTACAATATTGACGAACTGTACTAGAGAATTTTAAAGTGCTAAGGAAACTGTGTTTGCATTAGTGATGGCGACTACCAAAATGTCATGTAAGTTCACTGTCAAACGAATCTCCTTTTTTGTTGATTGGATGGTGGATTTCATCATGAGCTGACATCAGTTAGAGAACCACTGGAAAACCAACCACAGGGAGTACTGGACAGCTAGCTGTTTCGTCAGTCTAGTTTGAGACCGGCTATTCATCAGTACGCACCCACCCCACTGGGGTTCGAACCCAGGACCACGTTCTGGTTACAAGGTGAGCTTATGTCAGCTCATGATGAAATCCTCCATCCAATCAAACAAAATCGCTACAATTCTATTATGGATAAAATTTGTTTGGATAAAGTCTCACAGTGTTGTTATGCAGTAATGTTTACTGATAACCACGTTTCGAGCACAATTTATTATTGCCGCTCATAATCATATCAAGGTATTCAAACAACTTTCCATCTTCGTTTATATATGATCGCATAATTTTCTATCGCTTGACTTGATTGGCAGTAGTGGTATTTTGCATACTTCGGGTATGAGTGATGAGTCAATCCTTTTGCACGTGTTGTGTTGGGTGTAGACTCGATGAGCCAGCCAGGATTCAGTAATCAACCTCTATCTCTCCCCACCTACACAGATTACTTCCTAGAATCGTAACCCTCTCCCACCATGCTATTGTGTGGTTGTGTGTTAATGCATGCATGCAGTGCAATGTAGTGCTGAGTTGGTTTTTCTAAATTACTTATCTTCTCGAGTGGGGTCAACCATTCTTACCTTAGCCACTAAATTCTTATGTTCCGACAATCTGACTACCCCCACCCGATCTACTAGTCTGTTTCACCTATGTAGTTGACCCAAGTCATTGCAGGGTATTTCGTAAATTATATTATTTTGTCTAATTGGGTCAACCGACAGGGTCTTTTAGCCTACAAAGCTTGTCCTGGCTGAGTGAGTTTGTAGGTTTCAATGCCACAACAAGAAATCTTGCTTTATTAAGAATCCTACGTAGGGAGTGTCTCAGATGTTCCCTCCCTATATAGTAAAACAGTAGATACCTTGTATTCACTCTTATTTATGTTCTCATTACTAGTTTCACAATTATTTTTCGATTTTGCTGCTGGCCTTTTCTGATCTTCTTAATGAATTTTATAGGATAGTTAGTTATTTGATACCAACGCTTCTTCTTCTATCTGTTTCATTTCATCATTTAGGTCTTTTCTTGTGCTACTCAGTGCTATTGCTCGGTTTGTTAGACACTTAACTTAACTAAGCCTGCCTTCACAGAGAGATAACGGATGAGGTGAATTAAAGTCTAAATATCTATTAGCAGAATGCGTCGGTTTACAAAAAAAACCAACGCATTCTAATAGATATTGTGCTCGAAGCATGTGGTTATCACTAAACATTGCTGTATAACACAACACTGAGAGACAGTTTAGCAAAACAAATTTTACCTATAATGGAATTATACTCTACCACAACCACAGTGCACAAATTTTTTATTCTTATATGTAAAAAAATCTTTTTCAATCAAAAATAGAAACAAATCATACTGAAATTATCATGCACAATTTGCTGACAAACTCACCGAAGTCAACAATACCATAATTTAAATTATTATTATTGTTAAATGTTGGATCACTAGTCCAATCAGCTGGAAGAAATAAAATAAAATAAAATATGCCAGCATCTAATGCTGTGCAATTTTATTTTGATTGTGTAAATTATCAGTTGAAAAATTTATTTACAATCACAATCACAATTGTTTATAAGGTGTAATCCCTAATTACTTACTTACTTACTTACTTATGGGGAATTGTCATCTGAATTGATAACAACCAGTGGTGTCCGTCAAAGATGTCCACTTTCCCCATTTCTGTTTAACTTCATCATAGATATGATAATGGAAGTATCCTTAACTGAACTTAACGACTTAGGGGAATCGACTTGTTACCAGGGAATAGTCTTATGAACTTGGAATATGCAGACGACATAGTCCTGTTAGTGGAGGATGCTGAAAAAATACAGCAGAGTCTTCTGAACACCTTGAGCATGCGATTCGCCCCTGTAAAATGTAAGATGCTGCTACAGGACTGGCTAGACTACATCAACTCCTAGCTTAGTAGTGATAGGGAGTGAAGTGATAGAACACCATGTTGACCACTTCACCTATTTGGGAAGTTGTATCAGCACCAACGGATTGATTGGTGACGAAATCTCAGCATGGATCCAAAAAACTCAAGCTGCTTTCACTAACTTACACCATCTCTGGCGCAGGCGTGACATCCGGCTATCAACAATGAGACGTGTGTACCACTCACCAGTTCGCTCCGTCCTTCTCTGTGGCTCTGAAACATGGCCGACACGAGTTGAAGACATGAAAAGGTTGACTGTTTTTGATCATAGATGTCTACGATCTCTTTCTCACGTTAGGTGGTATAATAAGGTAAGTAATGTTGACGTTAGGTGAAGCGTAGAATGTTGGGCAAAGAGGGAAAATCAATCGACGAGGCTGTAAAGTTACATATATTGAGATGGCTAGGTCACGTGCTGCGCATGCCTACCCATCGCCTTCCCCTCCCGACGGGCATTACTAGCTCATATATGTGCAGGTAGGAAAAGAGTAAGTGGTGCCATGCCAAACAAAAACATGGCCTCATCAATCCATGAAGTCCTTGACAGTTAAACTGAGTCAGGTAGGGAGGGAGATGCAGACTTTCGGGTTGGGGCCCGCCCTCGGGACTCTAAGAATCAATGGCTGGAGACAGACAATAGGTGTGACATGGCTCAAAATCGTTGTCAATGGCTTACGCAGATGTATTCAGTCTCTTGTGTAATCTTTCATATTCCTTTCTACCATTAGTCATTCTGTTTCACTCTTATACTTGCCAAGACTCTATTGATTCTCTTCACTCATTTTTTTGTCTACCTTTGTGTGCTATTTGGAACGTGGCAACTCGAACTGGTGCACTTCGGTGGCAAGTTCTATGTTGAATCCAGACAGGCAGATAGACTTACTTACTTGCCCATGCAAAAACAAAACAGGACAGACATGTAGCTTAGATGGATGATTTTGACATGGTTGCATTCTCTGAGTTCCGGTAGTGTCTAACTGCGAAACTTTCAATTTTGCATTCTAGACACAATATCTTCAGTGCAAATTTTTCTGAAACAAGAGAGAGCCAGGCAGGCTTTAGACCAGGAAGGGGGGTGTATTGATCATATTTTCACCCTTCAACAGATTCTAGAACACATAGGCATTCCTACCGGCGGCGTCCAACAATCGTTATATTTCTTGACCTACTTAAAGGCGGCATTCGATTCTGTCGACCGAGAGATTCTCTGGCGATGCTTGGCTGTAAAGGGAATGCCGAGAAAATACATTGCACTGACCAGGGCAATCACTCTACTCAAACTCAAGCAGTCAGCCAGGTGAGGGCTTATGGCGAGTTGTCATTTGAAGTGGTGACGACTAGTGGTGTCCGTCAGAAGGGATGCTCATTATCCCCATTTCTATTCAATTTCATCATAGATGTACTAATGGATTTAACCCTAACTCACTGCAGAGACTCAGGGATTGACTTGCTACCAGGGAATAATCTCGTCGACTTAGAATATGCAGATGATATAGTTCTTCTAGGTGAGGACGCTGACTACACTGACTCCTAGTTTAGAAATAGGAAGTGAAGTGGTTGGTAGAGCCCGTTGACCACTTCACTTATTTGGGAAGTACCATCAGCCAGTGCCAAGGAGTTGATCTCTGAAGAAACCTCAGTACGGATACAAAGGGCCGATTTCACATATGCCAGTTTACGCCGTCTCTCGCATTTACGTGATATCCGACTGGCTATCGACCAAAGGAAGGGTGTATTGCTCATCAGTCCGCTCCGTTCTCCTTTATGGCTATGAGACCTGGCCATTAAGAGTGAATGACATGAAAAGGTTAGCTGTTTTTGATCATAGGTGCCTGTGTTCTATCTACCGTGTAAAGTGGTATAATAGGCTGAACAATATTGAGGTGAGGCATCGGTCGAGTGATAATTAAGGAGGGGAAATCAATCGACAAGGCTTTGAAGTTACAAAGACTAAGATGGTTATGACATGTGTTACGTATACATGTCTAGTCATCGCCCTCCTTGACAATGGGGAATCTTAGCTGCCTGATATAGGGTCAGTCTGGAAAAGAGCTAGCGGCGGTCAAACCAAAACATGGCTTCATCAGTCAATGAAATCCACAACAGTTAGTTTAAACCAGCCAGCCAAGTAGGAAGGTGTAGAGGCTGGAAACAATTGGTGATATGGCTCAAAATCGTTCTCAATGGCTGGCTGGAGCAGATGCATCCACTCCTTGTGACTTATGATTTCAAATGAAACTTTATCGTTCTTCGTTATTACTATTCCTTTGTCTCACCACACCTCTGTGTTTACTGTCTCTCTATTATGCGTTCCTTCTAGTTTCTTCTCTTGCTTTGTGTGCTACATGGAAGGATTGTTTGGCGACTTGAACTGGTGCACATCAGTGCAAAGTAGTTCTATGTCGAAAACCGACAGACAGACAGACTAAAAAGGTAACGAAAGCTTGTAAATTCAATCATTCAACGCAGAGAACACAACCACATCAAAATCAATGGAAACTGTTTTAGAGTAGGTTACATAAGTTTAAGGGTGGAAAAGAAAAGAATTCATTGAATAATTTCGTAAACACTATTCAGAAGCCCTTTCAAGCAAATCGATTAGAAGTAAAATGTCTGGGTCATTCGCACACCTACTGCCTGAGAAGGTATAAAAAAAGAGTATTGAATTTGTGTGGTTTCTGTAGATGGATAACAGGGTGAGCAGAGTGTTGCTTAGTCTAATGGTTTCGTTTAAAATAAATACAGGAGTAATATGATGAGTAATTTGAATAATCCCATCGGAATGTCAAAACTGAGCAAAAATTTACTCTGTAAATGTGTTCATAATATTATATGCGTAAAACTTGGGCACTGTGGTGGTAGTGAGTAATTCCATATGAGTTTGTTTATTAGATGTATCACACAGTCAGTCAGTGAAACAGTATTAGTATCAACTGGATGACACAGTTTCGAAAAAAAATTATTGCGGTTCATAATCATATCACCAATTATAATCACACGACTTCGAAGACAAAGTTTTGTAGTTTTCTTTGTCCTCTCCTATTTGTCGTCATTGGGGTAATAGAAGTTTCCAGATATCTGTGTGGACAAGTGTTGAATCATTCCTATTACACGTATTTTCTCTCTCAGTTGATTCGATAAACATAGCTTCTGTTGTTATCAATCTCTCCATCCCTACACCCTGTGACGTTAGATTTTGTAACTGTCATCCTATGGTTGTGTGTAACTGCATGTAGTACTAGCGATAGCTGCTGAACTATTCTCCAGATTTCTTATCTTATTCGAGTCAACTAATCTAGATTTTGCCGCTAGGTATTTATGCTCGCCTAGTCTGACTCAATGACCCTGTTCTACTAGTTTGACCTATGTATTTGACCTGACAATCATTCCAGCAGCAGGGGATTAGATGAACTAAATTGTTTTGTTGTAAAGGCTCCACTGGCAGGATTGATCATTTAACCGACAAAGCTTGTTTCTAATTGAGTTTGTGGTCGGTTTGAATTCCAACCGCTTTCCTTCCTGTCAGCATTGTTAAGAATTCTGCGTAAGGTGGTTTAGAGGCTGATGGTATCGACGTTCGCGAGTTGTACCAACAACTTCCATAATATCGTTCTTCGTGTACCAAAGATGAAGTTAAAGACCAGATTTAGTCGTCCAAAGTACGTGATATATTTCGGGACCAAATTGTAAACCGTATCGAGTGCTTGACTAGCTAGTGATCGTGCACGAACGTGACACGATGGAGTACTAAATGGCCAGGATGCTTGAACCGGAAGTCTTCAGCTAAACAAGTCGAATTAAATAGTGAGGGTTAGCATCCGATGTTCAGTGATGCTCAGTGCTGTGGTCAATAATTTTGGGGAATTATTTACCGCTACAGTGGTTTTCGAGGTTCCTTACTTGTATGGAATTATTGCTGTTGATTTAGATTCCTTATTCTGTGCATGTTTGACATGCATGTCGTTATTATTATTATTATCACTAGTATGATTATTTATTTTATTTTTACATTTCCCTACATAGTCAGGAAATACGTAGGTCAAAGTAGTAGAACAGGATTAGTGAGTCAGACTAGCCAAGCAGCATAAAAACCTAGCAGCAAAATCTAGATTGACTGACCCGATTAAGATAAGAAATCTAGAGAATAGTTCAGCTATAGCACTGACTACATGGAATCACACACAACCATACAATAGGCGGGATGGGATAAGATGACAGTTTTAAAATCTATTACAACTAACAGAGTGTAGCGAGGGGGAGATTGATAACAACGGAAGCTTTGTTCATCGAATCAAGTGAGAGAGAGAGAATACGTGTAATAGGAATGATTCAACACCTGTCCACCCAAATATCTGGAAAATTCTACTACCACGCCCAATGACGACGACAAATAGGAGAGGACAAAGAAAACTATCAGACTCAAGTTTCGAAGTCGTGTGATTATAATTGATGAAATGATTATGAACAGCAATAATGAATTGTGTTCGAAACTTTGTCATCCAGTAAATACTAATACTGT